TGTGATATTCACTATACTATCCACAGAGTCGTCAAGGGGAAAAGCTGGCTGCTGGCACAGCTGGCACTGCGTTATCTGCCGGTGCTGCACTGCCAAAAGGCAGGGATACGGCCGAGAGGAGAAGTATTGACTTAAACATGAACATGATAACAGAAATAATGTGCTTATGTGCGCGTGTAAGAGAGCGAGGCGCAGGTGTTGCGATGAATGCTAGTAAATATGAGTCAAGGGTTGTGAGCTCTTTATAGGCCTATTTCTGTGGTTATGGAAATTGCAAAGGATGAACATGGGCTAGACTTTGGAGAGTTAGCTGAGATACTAGACACCAAAATTCTTCACATGCCTCTCTCTTCTTCAATCAGAGCATGGAGCATTGTAGTGTTACACCTTTGGCTCTATACAGAGTTTCAGCCATATAATGCATCTTTATTTGACAGTACTCCGCATATGAAATCGAATTTCTTTTTTTAGGTACGGGCCACCTAAAATAGGCGCCATTAACAGGTCATATTATTATATTAACCTGCATTTGGGACAATGGGCCGAAACCCCGTGATCAAAACAGAAAGATTTGGCGCGGGGTAAGCCACCCATGCAAGCAACTGTATCCTAAATATCCTCTCACATACGTAAGGACCAATGAACGTGGCATATATTAACTCACAGGGCCAACCATCCAAGGTGCTAACAAAGTATGACCAGGATGAATTATCCTGTATGTGCCAATAGGCTTACTTTACAACGTAGGAAACCTGAGAATAAGGCCCCTTCGCATCCGGCTCAAACAATAAGTCCCTCTAGGATAGTTTAAGGTTTGTTATGAGCCTGAAGTTACAGAACACTGGTAGGTAATAGATGTCCAATTGTTGGAGCAAGTTGAGACAGTATGGGCTAGTAATCCTGGCGGACGAATAGGCAACTAGGCGAGATCAAGCGGAACCAATTCAAGATGATTGAGTTCATTGATTCAAGAAAGAACGAATGTCATGGGGCAAGTTGAAATCCATATGATGCTGGGATAGGCTGCCATTTCTGCCTAAGGCATTAGACCCACCTGGCCATTTTCAGCTAATTTGCAGTAGAACGATTCCTCATTATCAAAGATTTCGATTAAGTGTTTGCAAAGATTCCTTTATCTAGTGCATGTTTCTTCTGCGTCGAAGCAAAGAGGAGCCCGCTTGAAAGGACATTCCTTCGCGGTAAGTCATGGAAAGACTATTCTTCGGAGATGAGATACTCCTTGAAGATCCTCTTGTTTTATAGCCACACTGCTGCTTCGTCGAGCTGCGTAATGATCCCAATCTAGCATCCTGCAGAATCTTCTCTTGTCGTTCTCCACGGTAGACCAAAAGATAGAAAAAAGAGAAACAGAGAAACACCAGAAATAAGATGTGTAGATGGCACGTATGCACTGCACAAACCAGTTGACAGGTCCGGTAGTACAGAACGTGGAATCCGAAGATAGAGACGAGAACTACATGGGATAGGTTAATTAGAGGCATACACCCAGTGACTGAAGATGAAAAATTAGCTTACAGAAAGGGATGCTTGTAGAACCCTACTTTTTGCATCAGTTGTTCGGGTCAGCTGGTATTACAGGAATTTTGAAGGCTGTCCTGGCTATGCAGCATAAAACTATTCCTGCCAGCCAATATTTCTAGAACCTTAGCCCTAGTGTAGATCCTTCTTTCAAACACCTTTCAATAGCTACTTTACCTAAGGCCTGGTCCATAGTGCCTCCAGACACACTGCTACGGGTAAGTATTAATAGATTTGGTTCTGGAGGCACTAATTGCCACGCCATTATGGAAAGCCAAAAGACCTGAGACAGCTCCCTAATAGCATTACTATACCTGAGACTGACTTCTGTCCTATCACCTTATTATTCTTAGCTAGCTCAGGAACAGCCCTCCATGCCACACTACAGAGGTATAAAGAGTACCTAGCAAGGATAGAGGTATCTATTCTATACCTAGTAATAATACTTAACTCTTATTATTCTACTTTACTTGTCAGGATTTCCATCCCTGGAACCTTAAAAGTAGGTATACTTAAAGGGATCTAGATGTAACTTACTAAGGTCAGCTCCAATCCTAGTGCAGAGACTAGCACCTAATCTACTGCCCTGGAGTTTGATCAGGCACCCCAAGATTCTGGGTGTTTTTACTGGCTAAGGAGCCTAATAGGCAGGTATAGGATAAGGCTTGATAGAAAAGAGTATGTTATTAAGATAAGTGATTAAGATGAAGGAAGAGGTAATAGTATAACTCCCTAATAGACCTATGTAGTCTCTAAAAGTGATGATAATAAAGCCCCTAAAAACATCGCGGCTGGGTGAAGCCAAGATTTCCCTGATCCATATAGATGAACTTTCTCTTGGCAATAATTTAAGCCCTTATTGAACTATCCTGAGACCTTGCTGAACTGCATGCCCCTAGTGAGATAAGGAAGGATGCTAATTTAATTTTTGAATTTTACCTTCAGGCTATGCCTTCCTTTTTGGAGCCTTTAAATTAGCTTTGACTTCAGTTCTATAAAGGACACTATGTTCCCCCCTTAAAAATAATATTCAACTGCTTCATCTGCATTAACTAACTGATTACAAGACTTTTTGGTTTCTTTCAACCCACACTATGCACTTTATTAATTTACTAATCCTTGCTTTTTCAGCTTTAAGCTACTTCACTCTTGAAGTTATTGCAGAATCTGGCTACGGAGATTATTGCAGCAATATTGGCACTCAATATTATCGTGACCCTGATCACCCTTGGCTCATTACTGCCTGGTGCCAACATGACATTAATAACCCTGTCCGCAATATGACCTCAATCAATATGGATTTATGTTTTGCCAATAGTTTTGGCCATCTCATTGGCCGGAAGAAGTAAGGTCTCTCCTTTACTATCTATAATTATATCTCTATATCTCTTTACTCCCTCTTCACCCAGTTACCTACTTCTTCTTTTATTATATTTCTTAACTTAATCTCTCTTGCTAACATATCTACAGTGGTCTTGCTGGTCTTAGCTGCAAGGACGTAAGTATGGATGGCACTTTTCTCCATGCCCAGTGTAAAGTTGGTAGAAAAGGCTACGTCAGTGCTTTAATTAATACAAGTAAGTCTCTATATCTAATCACTGGTACTAGTATAGCTATTAACAATAGTAAACAGATGATTGGATTGGAAATAATGGTGGGGAACTGCAATGTTTTGGTCAGCAGTCTCAGCACGGAGACTAATAAGCAGTCTTTGGTATGTACTAGCATTGGTGTACATGGGATCAAAATCATGCTATAACTGTCTTCTAAGACTTTTATGGAATATAATAGGGAAAATAAAGACTAACTATATATATAGGGATAGCCTGGCTTGCAGTATCTCCCTTTAGAGATTATCATCCTGTGGTTATGACTATCATGCCTTCCTGTTACAATGTCCTTAGGCGCAATACTCTAACGCAGGGGAAGGAACACTGATGACCAATCAACTTGGATCAGTAGCCTATCAGAAACTACCTATGGTATAATCAGGACTACCCAGGATAGGACACGGACCCACGAAGCGCCAGCTGGATATATAAGGACACTCACTTACTATCATGTATTTAGTTCTTTGCAATCAATCTTACATATTGTTACTTGAATACCGCCTTTGGTACTTTGCACTTGACAGTTCACCTTTAAGACAACCCATCCTACAACTAGGGGAGTGTCACACCCTGGGATCTGTCTCTGCTGTTCTCTGCTAGTCAACTACTTTGGGAATGGGGTGATATAGTCCCTGGACTATATCCAATACTTGCCTGAGGCCTACCAACCAAGGTAGCCTTCTATATACCAACCCAGGTATATGGCAACATGTGATGTAATGATCTAATCTAAGATTAAAGATAATCTAAAGGTACATAAGAATAATAGTAGTAGAGATAGAAGCAAGGCCTATTAAGTATATATACTTAATAGTAAGAGAGTAACTAATAAATTAGACTAGTAAACTTATACCTAAGTAAGATATTGATATTAAATATAAGGAACTAAACTAAGAGTGCTAGATATAATGATAATAAGCATTACCTAACAGTTAAACCCTCAAAAACCATAACTGACAGTTTTAACCGAACCCACTTCGGGCCTGGGGTAGGGAACCCGCCCCCGAAGTGATTCCCTAGGCTTGCCCCTGAACCCCCCCACTGTGAGTTCGGTGAGGGTTGGATTCGATTATGCCACTCTACGTATGGTTAGAAATTACAGTGTGGTGCACCCACACCGGGAAGCAGGGTGGGGGCACCCAGCACAGATAGTGCTTACTGGATTTTAAAGTTGATTCTCTGCGAAGAAAACCTATTCAGAAAAAGGTTTAGGGGGGTTAGTCCTGGACTCCACTTTAACGCCCAATTTAGTACATGCAACTAATTCAAGTAAATTATCAGTAAGCACAACCTAGATTATAGACATCTGTTCTTTCTAAGACCTGCATGAGGGAAGGCTTTTAAGAGCTAGTGTATAACTATATATTTGCTTCCAACTGAGTGTAGGAACATATTAAAGAGGATGATTTATATATATTATCTGCAGCACTCTGTACTGCTCTAGTGCACTATTCTAAGGAAAACTGGTACTGCAGATCCTTATGCTTTTCAGAGAATATAATATATCACTGTTTCATTAGATACCTCTTTCTAAAGTTAATCAGCTGTCCCCTTTCTAATGACTGTGCATATCACGCACTAATAATCTTGAAAGACTCCCTAGACATCCACACCCCACAATCACCCACAGTGGTGCAATAATGGCCAGCGTCTTTATTCAATTGCTGATTCAGCTGCTGAATTTGCTGTCTTGACACGCACCAATCAAATGGACTCTGACCACTCACAGCTCTGGCCGTCCTTTGATTATCATCCTGTCTCTCAAAAGATGCTTTAGCACTGGATTTTGCGTCAAAATAAGATATTTCTCCTGAATTTATTTGAATGCTGTATAAAATACACCGTTCAATCTCAAATATTCCCAGACTCCTGGTATGGCCACAGATTCCTGAACAGCTCCTTTTCTTCTTCATCCTTCGCCAGCCCAATGAACGTATCTTTGAATTTGCGATTATTCTCACGGGCCAGATCGTAGTCATCGGGTTCAACCATCCCATCCACGGGGAGTACAGCTTGCTCTCGGAACAGTAACAACATACGACCGACCCCATTGATGTTTTCCTCTTCTTTGGACTGGAGCTCAATGTCCTCGCTGCTGAAATCGATCGGGCAAAGGGCGTTTGGGAAAAACTCGCTCCAGTGATCTGTAATGTTCATGAGTGCTTCGCGGAAAAAGAATAGGTCTCGGTTTTCCCACACTCCGGTCACGAGCCAAACAGGTTTCCGGAGGATAGGGATTGCCTGTTGCTGGAGCACAGCCCAATGAAGAGGCGCTCGCTTATACACCTGCGCCTCGTAGTATTTGTGGATCGTCTCGCTTTCCAAATCGTCGTCAATCTGCTTCTGTTCGTCCTTACTCATGCTCTCAAATCCCTCTGGTCGTCCAGGGACGACCCAGCCTTCCCGAACAGGCCGAGGATGTCTACACATTCTGGGAACGCCAGATTGGTAGAACAATGGAGCAACGCACGCTGACTGCCAGTCCACGATGCGGGTGATCCGACAAGTATCTGGATCAACGAAAATGTTATCCAGGTGAAGGTCCGGATGCCAAAAAACGTTGGCAGAGGAAGGTTCATCGCTTGGTTGGGGGACAAGATAGGAGGAGACATTCATATATTTCTCCAAGAGCGAGATACCATCTTCGGGAAGCTCTTTGTTCTTGTTCGGCCGGTAATAGTTTATTCGGGGAAGAGCATGTGTCTTGATCCATATTCTTTCATTGTGGCCCATCGCACGGGTGTATTCGAGCGCATTTTTCCCTGCGGCAAGAAAGAGGAAATATTAGATATAATAGAATAGGAAATTCGATAATTCACCTACTTACAAGGGCCACGATCCAAATTCATGTCCCTCCTAGTTCCACTCCACAGTTCGTTCGTGGTCAACGGCCCAATAGAAAAACGTTCGAGGACGTCGGATCCAACAGTCTGTGAATGAATGTCTTCTGCTTCCCCAACAAGTGAGCGTAAGTCTTCTTTGAAATAGATACAACCGTGCTTGTTAAACGTAATGGTGGCCAACTTGTTCTCCATGTCAACCACTTGAGTTATTAGTTGTAGCTTCAGCTGCCGAGGCCACTGATTCCAGACAGAGCCCAGTCGTACACCAGGGGCCTTCTCCTCAATAATATATTCGGCCTCGACTAAGTTGTTCGCTGCATCGGAAGACCAAGACAACACCCGAGGAACAGGAATATCGAATACATCGCGAAGCTATTCAATTTTAGTGACGCGGTAACGGCTAAACGACACTGAATATCTTACTAGTTCACGAGTGGCGACCTCAGAAACAACGGAAAAATGTGCAGGGCCGGCGTTGGGATTCGGAAGTTTCGCGAAGACCTCTGACCCATTATCCATTTTCAAGATGAAGGCTTTATTATGCAGCCCTTCTACACACTTGGTAATTCTGGTGCCTTGAATGGAGTTGGCAATTAAATCTCACTAGTCTCGATGGGATCGGAACACACAATACTGGGCCCCATCGCAAACATTAACTGCAATGTCGACAAGTTGTTGTAAATTGAATTTCAAATAGCGTTTTGCAAGTTCGCTTTCTTCGTTGAATCTGAATTTGGGCCTGAATGAGCCACTGTCCAAAGATGACGAACGAATTTGCTTACAGCCATCGATGTCTGGTGTATCGATGCAAGTCTTCTTCGGGGATTCTCTGTTCTATTAGAACAGCGTCAATCACTCGGCATGCTCAATTTATGGGATGATACCTGAGAATCTCACCTGGGCCATTCTGTCTTTCTAGGTAAAGCTCAGGGTTACGAGCTGCTGTCTGGCGTCCATCTGGTCGGAAATATGAAAAGAATCTCATATTCTGGGAAAAGTAGGGAGCACGAGGCTTCTCATGTAATTTTCGGTTACCGAGCCCCCCAAAATTCCTGGGAAGTCTAATCATTGTCATTGAGGATGACAACTGTCGGTGGTAGGGCGAGGGACCGTCATTTGAACGTACTTGCAGGTGCCAAGAGGCCGTGGTTTCAAGAAGGACGATGTGAATCAATATTTGTGCCCTTTGGCCCACTCAGAATGGCTGAGTGGGTCTGTGCAGTGGTTGTGCGCCTAAACCCACCACCACAGTTGTCAGCATTGGAATCAGAGATATTCTGCTGGTGGATGGTGTTCCTGGCAAAGCCTGCTGGCTTATTTTCCTGATTACTGGATAGGCTAGGAGGCTACAAGTTAACAGCAGACTGAACACCAGCGAATCGGGCCCTCACCGAAGCTAAAGGCGAGAATCATGATCCAATAGTAGAGTATGGTGGATGTGATCTCCACGGATGTACAGTAAGGGCCTATTAATACATTGGAAGCCACAACCTTTTCTTGTTTACGGGAGATCTACAATAAGCTTATCGATGATGCGATACCGCAGTGAATATCCCATCTATATCGCAGACGATGTAGATTGCCGGCTGCAACAGGAGTATCATAATCCACATGGGTTGGATCAGAGTCACAGACATGGTGTGGATCAACCCATATCCAACCCACTACCAGTCTACACAGGTATGCAGCTATGCTTTTCTATGCCCCGCTGTAGTAAATAGTAATCACTGTCATAATCTACTGCATTTGTTAAATAGGCAATAGAAATGGGTAGACATGCATCTTCACTTTTCAACAGTAAGAATAAAAAAAAAAAATAAATCCTGATAGAAGCTTCAGCGGTTTCAAAACTATCACATTGAACACTCCATCCATGAAACTCCATCCATGAAACTCTACTGGCATTCTGGACCAAAGTGAACAAACGGGGCCCAGGCCAGTGGGTCATCGCGCCAATCCCTCCGCAACTCAGCGACTGACCGATGCAGTGCAAGTCCAATGGCATCGAGACCAGAATCTTTAAGATGTGCGAGATGGCTATAGAAGCGCTTCACAACGAGCGACGAGGACGTTGCCAGCGACGGCCACAAGGTGGCAATGACATGGGGAACGCCGACCAGTTGGAAGGCGCTGGCCAGATGCACCACCTCTGTGAGCAGTTCTTCAGCCCCGTTTTCTGCCGTCGAGCACGCAGCAAGATAAATCAAATGCATATTGGCGAGAGAATGGCTGCTCAATGTCTTGATTGTCAAGAAATCTGCTGGATCTGAGCCGAGGATCAATCGCCCGTTCGAGGGATCTTTCGGGTCCATTTCACCATGACAGGTGCAATGGCAGATATTCGCTAGCTGCATGTTCGCCAGAGCCTCTTCCGCGGATGGAGACAGGAGGACATCCGTATTGGGGTAATGTTGCTGGATTACTTGCCGATCAGCACTCACCGAGGCTGACAGATCGTCGTGTCCGACGACCTTGGCTGCTCCTATGAATAAAGTTCGCGGCTGTTCGAGTTGGCGCAGCTGGCGCCGTCGTGCTCGAGCATGTTGCAGAATCTGAAGACTAGGCACATACGACGACACGACATGGTCCATCGTATTCTCCATAGATCCGAGGTTGTCATCCCCGGCAGCGTGGAACGGCATCAACCCCATCAGACCGCTAGAAATCCAACATACACGGGGCAGTGGACTCGTGTCTTCCTTCTGTCGAAGCAGGGCCTCGGCCGAGAAGAGCGGCTTCACTACTGCCCTCCAAAGCCACAACAGTAAACGCGAGAGTCGACGGTTCCGTTCTTGTGCGTTTCCTGCACGGGGCAAACTGATACGATTGGGACCAGCTATGTCCTTCCCTGCCTCCTGGACATGTTTTAATTGTAGGTCAGGGAGTCCCATATGGCGGATCTTGCCATCTCGGAGGATAATAGCAAAGCATTTGGAGTCTGAAATTGCGAAGTCGATGATGATGACGCCGCGTGAGATTTCGACCAGATCGGGCGCTGTTGGGTCAAATGTTTGTGCTGTCAGCGTTGTGTTATCCAGTCTATCAGTAGACGATACAACTGGCTCTGCCCTCGCTGACAACGTCAGGTGTGCAATCACTCCACGGGAAGCTTCATTGCTTTCGATGGCCCGCGCAGGTGGATATCCTGCTTTTAAGAGGGCTGCCGCGGCAACGGCGTCAAATCCCCGAAGAGACTTGAGAGTATATTCAATATCGCTTCGATCTGTCAACGGATAATGTGCTGTGGGCAGGAAGCCAATGACCTCTCTGGATAATGCGACCGCTCGATCTGCATCGTCCAGTTGCAGGGCGACCTTGGCGGCACAGACTCCATACAGGATCCGAATCTTGACCGGAGCGGTCGACTGGGCTAATCCAAACTCCAAAGCTTTTAGCGCCGAGCGTAGGTCCTCGTCGCCCAGTGTCCCGGCTTCGGACCACCGCAATTGCAGAGTTGTCGATAGCCCCAAATATGCAAGCTCCGACATCAGGGGACAGGCAAGGGCCGCTTCGAAGAGACCAATCGCGATGTCGTAATCGGATGCGCTCTTGGAGATATTCACAAGCATCTGAAAGCGGGCTGCCAGAGAGGATAGATACATGGATCGATTGCAGTTGAAGAGTGAGGAGCACCGTAAGGCCTTGAAGCCATAGCGGATGCTGTCATGGAGATCCTTCTCATCCAAGAACTTGTGGTATCGCTTCGTGAGATCGACGGCAAGGTTGTGGAAATTGATTGCGCAAGACGCCGCCGAGGAGAGTCCGACTGCGATCTTTCGGAGACGAACGATTCTCTTATAGTCTTCGGGAGATGACACCAAGCGGTCAGCTCGAAGATTCAGGAGGTTGCAAAGCGAGTTGATCGTTAGCTGTTGGGCTTCACGCCCAATCTTTCGGATACCGAGAGCCTCTTTCGCGAGAGATATTCCTAGCTCCACATCCTCTAGAACTCCATATTGCTCGTAACGCATTTTGTATCTTTGAGCTAGATTCGACAGTTTGACTGCTCTCTCACTGGGAGAAATACCCGTCACGGCCAATGCTTCTCGCTCATAGGTCATCGAGCTTTCCAAGTCTGCTCTATCCTTGAGCCGATTGTAGCGATGATCCAGTATGTTCGCTATGTTTGTCAGAGCGGCGGCGTGCGCAAGAGATCCCTTGATCCGCTTATCTTCGAAAAGTCGCAGAGTTTCCTCGGCCAGCTTCAAGGCGTCTGAAAGGTCGGAGAGGTTTGCGGTCAGCAGGTATCGCTTTCGCAGGTAGTACGCGCAGTTATTCTTCGCGTGAATAAAATCAGCAAGAGAAACCGTGTCGAGGTTACAGATCCTTCTCAGGGAGAAAATCGCTTCATCGAGAGACTGCTTGGCTCCTGTTTGCTCGTAGAGTTCGTCCAGCAGATCGCTCAGTTCCAGGAGTGTATCGACATCTATATTTCCTTCGTCCGCATTCGGTCTCCTCAGTGCGTTTTTCTTGTGTTTGATCGCGTTTTCGAGGTCACTTCTGGCATGGCTTTGTCTGTGTCTTAGGGTAAACAAGGACGCGAGAGTGAGTTCGCAGCTAGCTGCCGCAAGACCTTCCGGGCATTTAGAGGTGTCTCGAGATTGCGAATTCGTCAAGGCCTCCTGCGCGAAAGCAAGACAATCTTCCAAAAAGGGCACATTTTGTGGCTTGGTTTTCAAAAGGGTAGAGATAACCACGACGAAAATCGACACCAGTATCTGCCTCTCTACAGTGTGGGGAGGACATACGCGCATACCCTCTCGCACTTCGTGCAAAGCTTCAGCACAGCTCGTTGGGGTTGTCGGCATGTGCATAAACGTGAGAGCTTTCGCTCGTGCGGTCAGATAATAAATCTCTCTCTTTTCAGCGGTTGTCTTCTGGACGAGCAACTTTGTGTTTGCAGCGGCGGCAGTAAGTTTGATCAGGGCGTCTGGGTTCGGATCCATCATATAACGCTGAAACAGCCAAAGGGAATACGTCCAGTAGCTTTCTACGTCTGTTGTGTCGGAATCGTCAAGATGCCGCAGCTGGGACTCTTTGTTTTTGATGGCCGTGTCGAGCTCAGCGATAGATTCCCACTTCTTGAGCTCGATCCAATGTGTAGCTTCAATTGGGATTTCCTCGTGTTTACTGACTTCTATTAAACGGGCCCTGGAAATGCTCGGAGTTTTGCCTGACTGTGCTACCGGAGGGTTTGTGGTAGAAGCTTCCCCAGGAGTATCTGACGAGATTTCAGTCGAATGTTGAATCATCTGGGGCGAGGACACTATCTGGTCATTGCCATGGTTGAGCTCCAGTGAAATGCGCCACAAATGATGTCCCTCACAACCCTCAAAAGCATCCCCTCGGCTATACCGATTCGCACAACGGCCGCAGATCGTGACGGCAATGCAGGATTCACACTGGTATATTTCATCCGACGTGCTCCCCTGGCACCACCTGCAGAGAAGACTGAGCTTTTCTTTGAATAGTGAATACCACCTGTCCGCATAAGCTGAATAAAAGTGCCGAAGCCGCGTTTCGGCCTTGGTCCATCTGCTGAGAAAGAGGGCCGTCTCGAACACAGTCTTTGTCCAGTGCTTGTAAACTTCCAGATAGAGCTCATCATCGGTCAGTGATAGTTTGGCTATGCCGTCGAAAGCGGCCCAGTACATTGCCTGGAAGTCCTGGAAGTTCTGAGATAACAGTGGGGGAGATGGTGTGTCTTCGACAACACGTTCCGATGAAGTCTTGAGTAGATCGGATGATTCCTTGATCAACTTTTCAATCGCTGCATTGCCTTTTGCAAAGTTGAAAACTGTCAGTCCGTAGGCATCTACCAGGTCTGGATTACCCCCGGAATGTAAAAGGATTTTGACGATGTCTCCTCGCAAGCGCCGTGCCGCGTGGAGTAATGGCGTCGCTCCATCAGAGGCTCGCGCATTGACGTCGGCGCCGTTCTCTACCAGCTGACTCGTAATCTGGCCTAGACCTTGAGAGGATGCCATATGCAGAGGTGACAGCTGAAACATATCGGTGACACAGTTAGGATTTACACCGCTTTTGACGAGTTCTTCAACCGCATCAGACCGGTTTTGCTGAACAGCAAGATGTAAGGGCGTGTATCCGTGGACAAGGGTGATGTTGGGGTCAATCTCATTGTCGATCAGACGCGATATCAAGCCGCGATAATCTCTAGTGATAGTAATATACCAGATTTCACGTATTTCTCGATCATTGGCAGGTCTCGCCCAAGCATCGAGGAGGCAACCAGCTATATCTGGACAGTTTGCACAAATTGCAGCATACAGCGCACTGAAAGCGGTTGGGGGGCAGAGGTTTGGGTCCGCACCTCGATCCAGCAGAAACCGCACCATGTCAATGTCTTTAGCCATCATGACCGCGTAATGCATGGCAGTAAGCTTGCGACTGTCGTGAATATCTAGATCTTTCCGACGCATCTGCTCTGTGAGGTACGCAGCCACTACCCGCTGCCTATTGTAGCAGGAGACCATCAACGGCGTTAAGCCTTTCCCATTCCGTGCAGTGATATCTGCCCCGGCTTCGACCATCATCTGCACCAATTCCAGAAACCCCTTTGCTGCAGCGATGTGCAGCGCAGAAGTCCAGTTTGAACGCGGTTTCGTAAGAAGAATTCCTCGTGCCAGAAGCAACTTTGCGGCCGGGATATGTTCTTCTTGGACAGCCCAGCCGAGGAGGTCGATCCCGCTTTCTGACCATTCGATTTGGAAGTCGTCTGGGAGACGGAGCAGAAGCTCGATCATCTGAAGAGGTCTACCTAATTTGATGGCTTCCATCATCGCGACCTGTCTGTCCTTTCTCGCTACGCCATCAAACTGTAAAATTGTTTGCACGACTTCCAAATTTCCTGCCACCACTGCTGTCGCAAGAGGCGATTTATCCTCGCGATCTGTCATCGAGGGCTTTGCACCGGCTTTCAGGAGTACTGAAACCATTTTTGGCCGGTTAGCCCTCGCGGCAACAGTGAGTGCTCTTTCGCCTTTATTATTTTCGACATCTGGAGAGATGTCACTGGCCAATAATGCCTGGAGGAGGCCGACATCGCCCAAGGAAATGGCATGGAAGATGTCATCGTGGACTGAAGGATTCGCCATGTTGTTGCTGAGCTCTGAGCCTCTGATTGTGATGGAAGTTAAACCTTCCAAAATCTACTTGGTAGATCCAAAGCATGGTTACGGGAGAAGCGCATCCCCAGGAAGGGCTGTGCCAAGTTTAAAATACAAGAGAGACAGATGCAATTCACAGCCTTGCCATGCACATGTTCTCCGGCCTTTTCCTTTATACTTTTTTTTATACTTTTTTTGGCGCTTTTGTGAGTCCATCATAATGTGTCAGTCTCAGCCTTGTCCATTGATAGGCTGACATGTATCAAATCAATGTGCGTCTGAACGCCGCAACAAATTGCGACCAGTGATTGTCCTTTTAGTTTGCTTCCTCTGATGTAGCGCCTTTGACAGTAGTAATTTCTACCGACGGCTTGCAGCCATTGACTGATAGGCAGCCTGGATTCTCACGACTACTTCTTTACGCACTCTCGCACCACCTTCAACCAGCGAACGGGTATAAACCTTCCCGATTTCATTTAAATGCTTCTTACCCACAATACTTCTTCTCTATTCTTGAGGCCCGTGTACATGACAAGCGTTCTATACGATGCGTAAACCGCTCCTCGTAACAACCGTCCCGATCCCAATCGGCGATCTCAAACTTGGCAGTCTGATCATCGACCGCTCCCACCCGACGCAAAACGTTTACGCCCCAATCGACATCCAGCTACAAGATGCACCGACTGAAACAGTGCTCAAGGCACCCCAGAAGAACTATAAGACCCTTGTGCGCGTACAGTCGGACCGTTCTGCGGCCGCATCTGAGCGTGCTGGGCTGGGATTTTACCCGCGAGCATCCCGACGTGGCGGTGCAGATTGAGGCGCTGGAGGGGTTCACGTATGAGCTGCGGAATCCGCTGCAATGGTTCAATGCGTTGATCGAGCAACCTGGTTCGCGCGAGTGGCTGCAAACGATGAACCGGCGTGGTGCGGATATCTTTCTGGTTACGGGGTGTCGCTCGTTGCAAGATGCGCGGGTGACGTTGCACAGGAAGCACCAAAAGACTAATGGCATCAATGTCATGGTCGACGTTGGCATGGTCGCTTCCGCTGCTGCTGGTGCTCCGCTGCCCGTCCCTACCGGCCTGGAGATCGGGATCCAGGCGGAGCAGAAGACACTTGACCAACAGAACGAGCAATACGTGGCACCTGGCGAACAAGTATTTGCAATCCAATATAAGAAACTACGATTCAAAACCTTCCCTCGGGACGGTGTCCGGCAAGCATCCGTGGGCTTGTCGACGCTCTGGGAGGATGTCCTCGTGCATCATGGGGAAGCAGCGCTTAGGACAGAAGCCAAATTGATCGCCGTGCAACTGGATGATGCGGTGCAGGTGGGCAGACCGACGACCAGAGTGTCCGATGAGGGGGAGGAGGATATCTATTTTGTCGTCGATGGAGACCACTGAAAAACATCGTTTTGCTTTAATCGCGGCTGGTCTTTCGGTCCCATGTTACTGCCGTTTCGAAGCAGTTTGTATAACTCGGCCTGTCTCAAGGAAAAGTATCCAAAAAATCAAGTATGCAGACCGTGCCGAGTCCATATCTAGCACTGTTCATTCCTTTCTAGTACGCGGTCTGACAAAGCGCGCGACGGAGGGTGAGAATCGCCTGCTCTCACGCGGCTTTCTCACTCCAGTTGCGCGACCGCAATGTCGATTGGTTCTTACCCCGCAAGGCTAGGCCAGGCGACTGGCTGGTGTGACCATTTAGCGTGTGGCTTAAGTATGGCTGAGCGGACGGGAAGCCCTGTTTTCCACACCCTATGGTCGTATGTGCTAGGTTTGAGGTAAGGCACCTATATAACGTGCCCTTGAGAGAGAGTATTATCACTCAGAGCTATATGGTTTTGGAGTAGTGGAGCAATGTCCTAGTGGATGAGCCTATATCAAACATAGAGAGGCTAGCTCATATGTGAGTTTACATAATCTGGATGACAGTTACCAGGCAGGGCCGGATGAAATAACTATAATAGGAAGGAAGTTTGAATACAGGTTTGCCGGGACCCAATTGTCTCCCAGAAGTTGCAGTGACACTCCAGAATATCATGACGAGTACCGATCATGGAGCTGCTAACAACTCCCAGGCAGCCCAGGTGGCCCACACAACCCGCCATCCGGCGGCATACCACAACGGCCGGATGGTATATTCATTCTCCTGCAGCGCGCTCCATGCGTACAGCGCAGCAAGACTAGCATTGTAAAATGCAAAGCAGGAGCCCACGATCCGACCAACTTTGGTGTGACGGATATGGTAGTCTCGCAGCAGCCAAGTGCTCAGCACATACGGGAAGAAGGAAACGCCCGTCACGCGCATCCAGAAACGGGTCAAGGGATGAGCCAGCTCGTCGCGGTTGGGTATGACAATCGGCGAGACGAACAGAAAGGCGAAAGCGTCAAACCCCTGCACTGCTAAGGCAGAGCCGTACATCAGGCGAACGGACAGAGGCTGGAAGTGATTCTGTGGCGCATTAGCAGCGGACAGATAATATAGCAGGTAACCTACCATGATTGATGATCTCAGATTGTTTAACCTGATATTCTGTTTGCTGTCTTCCCTAGATTGAATGGTTGAACAAGTTGCTTGAAGATTCAGGAGCAGTTGACGAGGGTGGGATGTTGCAGGCTTGCAGCACAAAACTTGCCGCTTGTCATGCCGCCACCTCGTATAGCTAGCGTGTGACCTTCGTATCCCTCCCAGGGGGAAACGTACCTGTCGACCATTTCCATCTAGATGCATCTCCAATATGCAATCTAAGCTTGATCTTTTTTCCGGGAGGCTTATAAATAGAGGTGTCGCCTATGGACGGGCTCTGCCGAGATCTATGGACGGATGTTCAGACATAGTACTGCAGGAATGGTGGTATTTTAGTACGTACTACCAATATATTCGATAACGACATGGTGACAAAATGATAGAGCAACGCTTTTACAAAAAAGGGTTCTCTTGACGTATTGTAGCACAGCAGTATGGTGCACGATCCTATCAAAGCTTATACACAATCCGAAGATCAAGGGCACCCCTATCCATTTTGTCTTCAGTATATTCTCCATATCCCGGGAAACGCAGTTTAAGCAGTTCAATCCCCTCACCAGGTACAGCACCAATAGCAGACCGCATCTTGCATTTTGCGTCAAGGATGGTCCGGAGATCGTCGGCTTCAAGAAAGACCTTGTATGGAGACTCTTGGCCACTACCGAGGTTTCGCACGGTGTAGGTTAGCCCATTCGAGAGCGAGTACTGGGTCACAAAAACAGTGTCTTTGCGATCGTAGCCGTAGTACTTTGCGCGATGCATGTACTCGTCGAATGTATCCTGCTGTAGCTAATCCGGGGTCTGAGCATTCATTAATATTGCGCAAGCATAAAATTCCACACTTACAGATTTAATCATGAGCCTCAGGTCGCGCTTCCCCAGGTGGATATCCTCGTCGCCACAGGCTGTGAACACGTACTCAATCCCGACTTGGACCGTACCGCCGAATATCAATTCGTGGATCATAATCATCTCTCGGTTGCCCTGGTAAACTCGCTGTTCCACATAGATCCTGGGATCGGGGTGGGTCTTCTCTCTCTCAGCAATGAAAGCAGCCAACCTCACATACCGGCCCCTGTCATAAATCGCATCTGGGTTAAGGATCTCTGTCTCGTCTGGTATATCCATTGGGGTCAGTAATCACTCACGGCAAAATGACCAAGTCAATGGCCTTAGGACTTTCCTACCAGTAAAGAATACTTTCCTGAAACGGAACCCTGGAACCTCATTGCGCTCACGACTTTGATCCTGGCTCCGGGTGAATATTGTGAGGGGATGATCCCGATTGAGACTGTATTCCTTGACCATGGTTTCGATGGGACCTCTACATATAGATTTGCCGAAAATGCGTTTCTGCGGCGTCCTTGAGTTGATCCTGCTCTGGCCTCTGGGAAGTGACTTTGCTGTCTCCTTCATGACTCGAGTTGCTGATCTTTTGCTATGCAAGAGAATATTGTCGTCCTCGTCCACATCATGGATGCTCGCTGGTTCAGGGGCAGTTTTCATGCTGGATTTAGATTTGTCCAGTGGCAGTAATACTCGTGGTATTCACGAAAGCCTCGACGGGAAAGTCAGGGATTATATGTTCTGAGGGGTCGTCTCCAACATTGGTGCGAGGCAGGCTATTCTGGGGTTGTAACGGGGTGGCAGTGCCAGACTAAGTGCTGCAAGTGACTGCGCCGCAGAAATAACCCTGGCTCGAAATAACAGCACCATTTTAGTATACTTCCATACAACAGTCATGCCTGACGTCCTTCCCAGCTGTACCTCATGGTCACGCAGTAGATTGGTCCACTGGGCAGGTTGGTAGAGATCAGGAAGGAAGATCAACCAAGTGTATACGCTTATCTGAGGTAATAATAGCTCGACTGAGTGAGAGCGCGTCAACGCTGCAGGAGCTGTCGAGAACGGCAGGGTTGTTCAGGACCGAAGAGACGGCGCTCAGTGAAACCATACCGCAGTCCTGTGGTAAGACTTATAGATCGAAACAAGCCGTCTTATCTTGATATGGAGTCATGGATTGAACCCAGGCTACATTTCCTGCTAACGCGAACAAGGTGATAACAGGTCCGGCTGGTTCAGATTCTACAGGGCGGCAAAATTAACTCCAGAGATGGCAGGAGAAGGGTCAAACAAAAAAGTGGTGGTAAATATCCTATGGGAAATGCGCAGACTTGCGGCGTAGTCACCTTCTATTAACATACACCTGGTGAGAATCTGATACCCACTGCTTCATGCGAGAATGTCAATTCCACCTGTTAGAACAAATTCCCTTTCAACTGCCACGTTCTCGTTACTTGAGATACTTCGATTGAAAAGAAGCGAAGATTAATTTGGCCAGTCCCTCCACGGTGCCTGCTTCGGCAGTCGTTGTCAAGGAGAGGTTCATATTGAGATACCGGCGGGCAAAGTTACGGAACTCCACAGTCATCAAGGAATCAATAGGCAGAGCAGCTACCTGCGAATATTCTTGTCCGCGGGCAAAAACCGAATATTCCTGTATGGTCCTGACAATCTCCGTCACAATTTGTTTCGGCAGTGCTGGGTCTTTCAGCCGGTCTGGATCCTTTTCGATTGCTGCCAATTGCTGTTGCAGGTCCTCTACTGCGTCTAGTTCCTTCGATCGAAGGGGCCGTTTGTTGATGTCTAAATTTGCATAGACGCTGAATCTTGCATCTCGTCCCCAGAGCGGGCGAACGGAGGGGTCTGCAAGAGACTTTGTGCTACTCATGCCCACGATAATATCATTTCGGACGCGCAGAATGTCGTCAGATGACTCATTCACCGGCGTGCTTGATGGTTGACACTCAAGCATGGCAATCTCAAATGCATCAAGCACCTCCTGTTCCCTGAGGAGGCGAACATGAGCTGCCTGCATCCTATCTCGCAACTTCTGGTCCTGGTTTGCTAAATGGCCTACCTCGTCCACGGCCCCCAGGTTCACGACGGAGGCGGGAAGACCGGCATGGAGTCGGTACTGGGCGAAGGACGTCAAAAACGCATTGGCGGACGAGTAGTTGACCTGGCCAGCATTACCCATGACACCGGTAATGGATCCACAGACGACAAAAAATCGAAGACGGCTATCGTATCCTTTCAGTCCTTCATGAAGGTTCCAGGTACCCGCCACTTTGGCGGAGAGACATTCCTTCCAGTGGGAGTGCGCCATCTCAGGAATAAAGTGGTCCTTTGAGAGGTTAGCGGTCCATTGATTTGTCTGGTTCTGCTGGCATTGCACTTACATGGAGCACCATCGACAGCTGCAGCACGCCTCCAATGGGCTGTCTGCAGCGTTGGATTGCTGCCTTGACATCGTCAAGTAGTCCGACATCTCCTTGGATCATGACTACGCTGCATCCCTGTGCCTCCAATTCACACCGGAATGCTTGATCCTGCGCGGACTTCCCCGCTGACCTGGACAGGAATATGAAGTGACGAGCGCCGCGCTCTACCATCATGGTTGCCAGCGCTCGTCCTACTCCTCCGAGTCCTCCGACTAGAAGATAGGAGACATCGTCCGACAGAGCCACCTTCAACTGTGATTTGGAAATGACCACTTCGCTGGGGCCCTCTGGCATCTTTATGACAAGTTTACCCATGTGGAGCCCCTGTTGCATCAGTCGGAAAGCCCTGTGAACATCAAATGCATCAATGGCTTCCAGCGGCCGAACGGGGGTGATTCGGCCCTGTTCATATAAAGCCAAGGCTCGGGTGACAAGTCTGACGCCAACAGTTCCGTTAGTTTCATCACGTTTATAGCATAATTTGCAGGCGCTGTGAAACATTAACTGGAAATTCTCTACCTCGAAATAAAGCCCGGCTTCTCCCCAAGGCGAATGAGATCGACCCCGAAGAAGGCTCTGTTGCCGCCAAACGCCTCCATGTCGAGCGTGCCGTGCTCGAGAAAATCTCTCTTGCCGATTTCAATCATTTTGCCGAATTCTGCGACGCATTTCCAGGATGCATGCAGCAGCTCCCCAGCCAGAGAGTTTAGCACGACATCAACTCCCCGGCCTTGAGTCGCACTCATCAACACCGGCAGAAAAGAACCGTCGCGCGAGTTGAAAATCCGATGGCGCGGAATTCCCATGTTGTGGACAAGATAGTCTGCCTTTGCGTCGCTTCCTGCCGTAGCATATATCTACACATGAGGCTGTTAGAGTCGACTACTTTCGACGATTTATTAGTGATCCAGATTCATAAAGGCATACCTCGGCACCGACCATCTGGCACACTTGAATAGCAGCCAGCCCGACCCCTCCGCATGCCGCATGGATCAGTACGGACTAGACATATCAGTTGAGTTACTGCGCACTAGAGTTGAACGTCAACATACTTGTCCCTTCTCTAGCCTTGCAATATCCATAAGGCAATAGAGTGCAGTCCCAAAAACAACAGCTAGGGACGCGCCCTCTTCAAGCGACATGGATGGTGACAAGGCCACGCATCGAGAGGAGGGCACGATAGCGCGTGTGCGAAACAATCCAGGCTGGGTGACAATGACTCTTTCACCAGGGTGTAACTGTGTAATGTTCTTGCCGCATCGTCGGATGATTCCGCTTGCCTCAATACCCAGCTCGCCCTTGTGCGCCATAAGCCCCATTGAAATCATGATATCCTGGTAAGAAGAGTTAGTGACAAGCTCTCATTTGCCAGAATATGATTTATTTCACATACGCGGAAATTGAGTCCAACATATTTTATATCCACCTCGACATCGTCTGGTCCCAGAGGCTGTGGTTCGTCTTCACACCAACAAAGAGACTCCATCAACCCGTAGGCCTTAACATCAATTTTGACCAAAGCATTCGGCAAGGGGTCCTGATGAAGTCGATCTTTCAACCGAGTCCATTGGAAACGTGGAATATATACCTGCCCTTCCTGCAATACGAATTCATATTCGGGATCACGCAAGCCGGTCTGGCAATCCAGCTGCGAGAAAAACTTTCCAGTGACCTTCACCAGTGCCGCTGCTGCCGAAGCATGGAACTCGTCGATCTGCAAGGTTCCAAAATGCAATTCTTGTTCCTGACGGGCCGTGCGAGACACCCCAAGGACAATCGCGAAGTCGGGACTCTGGCAAGTGAGCTCGACGGATGGCATTACCCAAAGGATCGGGGGCGCGGCGGTGACCAGCGACTGGAATGCCTTCCAGCTCGTCTCACTAATATCCTTGAAGAATGGCTTTTGAACATCTAGCAGCGATACGATGCGCTGTTTGTTTGTGAACTCAGCGCCCAGGGTGCAACGCTGGGTTTGATAACCCATTCTCTCGAATTGTGCTTCCACATTGCAGATCCAGCCGTTATTATGGACCAGGCCGGGACAAAGAAGGTAGATGAGCTCGGTATGGTCCTCCCTGGGATACGGCAGACGGGCAGTCAGGTTGCAATAAGGGTGTTCGCCATGCGTACCCTGGATTTGATCGAGTCCGACCTGCATCAGTGTTTCCACCCATTGGATGGGACAGGGTGATATACCGCTCAAGGATTCCAATTCTTGGTTACCCACAAGACTCTTTAAGCACTGTCGGTTGGTTAATTTGAGCGCTTTGAGAAGCAGGAATTACTTACCCTGATGTACCCCATCATAGAATGCACTAGAACAGGCGGCAATTAGATGATGGTTCAAGCGCCAAAAGCTTCCGAGAAGGACGAGAAGTCACTCACCAGCATTTGGTATATGAAGCAGAACTCGGCCTCCCGGCACAAGGAGCTTTTTAATGTTTTGAAGAGCAGTTTGCAGCTGAGAAGTCGGAACGCCTGTCTGGGAAAGATGTCAGCAATCTGGAGTGCCATATAGTTCTGGGATTAACGGGACACACATTTGACACTATAACCAAGTCATACGTTCCATTTCCAAAGCCCTGCTCACAGGGATCCGTAGTTATATCCAGGTTCTCGAATTTCACTTCCTTGAATTCTTTCAGGCGTTCAACTACGGCTGAGCTGATATCTTTCGTGCTCGTGTATGTATACTTCGAGTAGAATGGGAGACCTTCGAAATTGAGATACTCAAGAACCTGACGGGATACCACTCCATTTCCCTCGGCGATATGGAGGATCCGTAGCAAGGGGTTGGAGTGCCGGAGAAGGCCAAACCAGTCAGACATATCGCTCATCGATGCAACCAAGCTTTCACACTGCCATATCTGCTTTCGTATGACATTCGGAACAGCCGACGTCGGAAGCGATCCGTCGACAATGTCCCGGACGGTTTCCAAAGCCCAGTTACTCATCGAGGAAATGAATTCCAACTTGCTTGTTCGGAGCTCCTCATCCAGAGCGGTCTGCTGGCGCTGTAATGCTTCCTCCGAGCACTTGAGCCACGATGCGGCTTCAGAGACTCCCCAAAACGCTTCTCGCTGGATTTCTGCAATTTGAGTACTGATAAATTTCTGGTATTGTTCCAACGATGGTGAAAATGGTGTCACATCGACAATCCGTCGATGCACCTGAATAATAGACAGAGCGGAAAGTTTGGCAATCAGAGCAAAGCCAGCTTCAGTAGACTGGGAGTAGCGTAGCGGTAGCTGTTGCTTGTTCACGAGATCAATGTCGGGGCGCCATTCTGCGTGTGATGCTAAAGGAATGTCTGCCTCGTCGGCTGCCCTCATATTGTTGTCGAGCGGGACAACCGTGACGTCCGCCATTGAAAGTACTGGCTTGATAAATGCGCCTTCTTGGTCGTTAGCCATCAGCAGCACATTTCCGTTACCCAGTTCTGCTGTGCGATTGCTGGTCGTCGCTTCCGCTCTCATCATTTCCTGACCCAAACCGAGCTGAACCTCTCCCACAAATATAGGTACATAGAGCCTGGTCATGTGCACTGCTCTGCCCTTGCATGCAGCTACGGTGAATAATTGCCGACACTCATCGATCACCGTCGGATGGACAGCCTTGCCATCTTGGCGGCCGCGCATCAACGCCGCAGCCACACATCTTGAAGGGTCGGCGGTGATATCTTGCATTCCTCTGAAGGTAGGTCCATAATTCAATCCCACCTTCTCCAGCATCCGATACCAATGCTCGGATGAAACGCGCCGAGGGAAGACTTGTGGCGCTCGTAGTTCGGAATCAACCTTGTTGACGCCGGATTTCGCTCGACCAAAAGCATGTCTGATCCACTCGGTCCCGTTATACGACATTATAGCGAACTCATACCATTCAGATTCTACGCGATCATTGACTCTGACGTGTCTTGCGGTTGTAAGAAGTTCAATAGGGTCTGACCGTGGCAGGCACTTCTGGTGTCCTCGACACTGCCAGCGCCGTTAACAACGCAAAGCTCGCTGCCAGAACCGCTCGAGAGAGCCTTGCTGGTAGCAACGGCCTTACTCCTGACGAAGCGACAAAGTACTACGAGGCTTACACCAAAATGTCCCCGGTTCTGCTTGATGCATTGGCGGTTGCCAAGGACAAGGTACATTAGACTCCGCGCTTGGTACTCGATCTTCTGGCTCTAAGTAATTACAGGCGCCTCTTTACAAGGAGGCTGGATTGGGTCTGCAAGCCTGGGATAGACTGGCTTACCCAACCCATAAATCCACACCCACCCCACCCAATCCACTGTTTGGGTGGATAAGGGCTGGCCCTAATCCAACCCATGTGGATATGGGTTAAACCTGCTATATCCATGTGGATATAGGTTAACCAATGGGTAGAGCCTCTAGAAACTAATAAGCTTATCTAACTAGATCCAGGCCTAGATAGGGGGATATTTATATATATATAAATAGAGAATAGTCATATCTATCTATATATAAAATAAATATTAGATCTACTAAGAAAGGCTAGAGTTATAGTAGTTTTTAGATTTTAGAGGATAGTATTAGGATAGTAAGGGTAAGATATATATMTCTCTGCAYYAYCTTTYAACCTAAGCTTAGGGGGGACCCCTWCTCCCCTATATAAGTCTATTTTAGCTTATATAATAGGTAATATATAATATTTATACTAATCTATTCTTATATTACTTATTAAATATATAGATATCCTAGTGGTGTGGCTAGAATACTAAAGAAATAGGGGGTAATCTAAATACTAAAGGTCACCTGACTAGATAGTATGGATATCCATAGTATCCACAGTTGAACCCCCGTGGATATAAGGGGTGGGTGAGATACCTGGTGATTTACCCATAATCCACATGGGTTGGATCAGACATGCTGTGGGTCAACCCATATCCACCCCACAGCCAGTCTAGCCCGGGAGTCCGTGCAGGATTTGCACAATGAGGAGAAAATGTTTGAGGAGCAGGCAAATCAACAGATTCCCAAGGAGACGATGAGCAAGGCTGCTCCGTCCATTGAGCAGATCAGCAAAGCCTTTGACGAGGCGGAAGCTGCATTTTTGTGAGGAGTTTCCTTGCCTTCGCCTTGGCGAATTTTTGTGGCAGGCAGGGAGGATGGGCAGTAATAGCAGTAATCGGAGGATTGTAGTGTGGGGGATGCTTACCACGGTCCCTAGCTAACCTTAAGTAGCTAGCCTAATTTTAATTTGAATTGGCTTTTATCATGTAGGCTAAACTCATGTGGCTGGACTTGTCATTTGGAGACTCAAGCCCTAAGGAATGATACACTCATTCCCCGTTAGTCCAATAGGTCAGACATATTTGAGGCCTGTCACTGGGGTAACTGTTCCACTTCTTGCTGAATCGACTACGATCTACGCAGCACTGCCTTGTCTTCCACCTTCTAAATGTGAGCCCCTGCGCCGGCGCCAATAGGGTCACCATAACAGACAGGCACGAGGCGCGTACCCCTGGCGGCCGAAAACACAGTTCAACCCTGCACAGGTAGGGAAATTTGAATATAAGTTGCTCAAGGACCTGCATAAAGATTGCATCCTGAATGTTTCTGCCCCCTCACTTTAGTCTTTCTTTCTCGATTCTCACTCTCTGCTTTAGATTATCACTTCGTTTACTTGACTCCAAACATGCGATTTTTGCTTCCTTTCTTGCTTGGCCTCGCCGTCGGTTCACCTCTCCCATTCTTCACAGAGAAGAGCATAAAACATCGCGACGTGGTGAGTCTTCTTCTCCATCAGACTGGTTCTGAACTTTCAAGAATACTCACAACCCTCCTAGGATGTAAGGATCAATTCCTCAAAAAGCACAGTCTCGACAGAGTCGACTAACAATAATGCACCCGGTTGAAGCCGGTATAAACCTTGTCTCTCGACTGTCGACTTCGAAACCGGCTGACCGAATATATCTAGTTTGTGCGTTGAAACTAAAGATTCCTTATTGAGAGATTGAATTACTGATCATTCGATAGGTTGTGGGTTATGTCCTCAATGGATAATCAAAACAACTCTTGACTAATCCGAGCGAACCTCCAGGATGTATGAGCGACATATCCCCTTTCTTTGAGCAACTGCTACATGTGTCAGCTCTAACAGCAATAACTCAGGTGGTACGGAAGACATGGCTCTACTTATCATACTCATGCTCACAATAATGCGCAGCTTGTACGTAACTCCTATATACTATAGGCTTGCTGAGGCACCTGCTCACATATTATAAAGGCTGTAAGTGGCAAGACTGAATGGATCAATCCTAATACTTTCCACTGACTTGATGACTGCATAGATTGTACGTTCATCATGCACCGTTATGACCAACATGACAATTATCACAGAGCTATTTAAAGACATAACTAACCAGAACTGCAGGGTGTATGATCTCTAAACACACTGAATACTCTGATTATCCTCCACTAACAGGCATCTAGTTTGTAAGTAGCCACCGGTTTGTATGAGCTCCAGTCCAATGCTAACAGCACTTCTAGCATGTATGATTTGATTCCACTATCCTTTGCGCGTCAGCCTCTACGATGACTAACAAGTACACAAAGGATGTACGAAATCAGTATCCCAAGGCTTACTGCTGATCACCAAAGTCTCTGATTGTGTCGTTAGGTGGTATGGCATCCCGTCTTCTGACTACGGTTAAACCTGACTGACGCAGAAATATAGCTTGTACGGAATTGAACCTTTGGCTCTCCCAGGTTATTGATGCAACAGTGCTGAACGAAAGGTTTTAGAAAGTAAGTCACTTTACCAAGGGAACTTCAATTGAAACGTTAGCTGACCAACGGTGACTCTTAGGATGTACGACCCTCGCTATTAGATGCGAGACCGAAAACTAACGGGAAAAAATTCGACAGGTGGTATGTTCACATACTTCAAATGCGGCTGAGCTTACAACACACGCTGATTATATGGGAAATCAAGAAAGTATGTCATATCATTCCGCGAAATGACATTGATCTAGTTTTGAGCTGACAAGAACATAGCTTGTAGGAGACTCTTTCCAAGAAATACTAACGTCCTGTCAATTAACTTGCCGGATGTGATAGAGTGTATGAACCTTGCCCCTCGAAAATGTTGACTGAGATGTATGATGTGGCTGAGGCGAAATTAGTTTGTAAGCAGATCAACTCTTTAGCTGTTGATGATAGTGCTGACTTGACATTCTAGGATGTAAGATTCATCCATGAGACTCTGTTATCCGAATCTCCATGAACTGACTCGCCATGGCTGAATATCACAGTGTGTATGTTTATCACCCGACAGTTGTGAGTCCTGGGTTAATCATATTCGATCCTCGAATCCACAGATCGTAAGTCACTTCACTGGCCTTCTCTCCTCTCTTATAGGAATCGAGTATTCCACTGACATTAGTCTACTCCAGGTCGTGAGTACATTCTATCGGGCTGCAAAGCGAATCAGATTACGCCGCAGTGGCCAACTAACGTGCCATAACAGAATGTATGCTATACTCGTTGATTTCGTCTTATATAAAGGTCAAACATGCTGACACCGATAACAGTGCCAAGAGACCGCCGCCAAACTCAAGGATAAGGAAGGTAGAAATAACTCAGGCACCACTCATCACTAATACGCATAATAGATTCGACCATCCAACCGGACTCAGGCTCATCATTAACAGTACAGAAGAGCGACTTTGTGGTGCTACAGGCATCACTCGCGACATTCCTAAGGTATACCAGTCGAGCCTTAGTACAGGTTTTCGCCCCATAGGGTTTTCCCTGTACTCTAGTGTGAATACAAAGGCCTGAATCAAATTGTGGAGTCAACCAGCTCCTCTTCCAACTTATTCTCATCGTAATGTCTTGGATGGAATTTATATTCGTGATGAACCTCCGTAGTACTCCGTCTTTACCATATCATGTAGTACCTTATCCTCTGCGAGGTCACAACTGACAGCCAACCTTATTCGTAACTAGAAGGATGTCAGTAGTTGAAAGCCAATCATGTACTATGTATGAGAGAAGGTCTGGGGTTTAGCTCCCATATATTCAATGGCCCCAGTTTTCTGCCTGGTTTTTTATACTCTCTGTGTACGGCTCTAAATTGCCCAAGGAGCCCGGTCTGTTGAACAAATTCGGTTGCTTAGATTGCAAGCTTGGGCGTGTCCGAGATTGTTTCCTTCTCCTCTGGGACCTCCGCTCAATCTCCCGAAGATTTCCTCGCATAGATTTTGGAAGATATGGCAGGAGAGGGGTATATGTCATACCATCTGACTATCTTTTAACATTGTCAGGTTCTCGTCTGATTTATCCGGTACGCCACGTTGGTATAGGTAGTGCCTCAGCCCGATCTTCCGTGTGCCCAGGTGAATGGATTCAGAACATCAAGTATCAGCTGAAAGAGAAGAAGAAAGATGATGGATTTGAGGCCAACTATGACTGAGAGAGAAGGCCTGCTGGAGCATTGTTCCAGATTAGGAAATGAGTTAACTGCTTCAGAGCTAGCTTCGGTAACCCGCTGGTCCACGGATTTGTCGGAGGTGAGGATCGGGACTACAAAGTACTGGAGCTCATGTAGCTCTTTAATCAACGAACAGTCGAACCCTTTGATTATTCCCGCCCAGTCTCCGTCCCGGTTCAGCTCAGCTTGGCCGGAAGTCTTCTCCGTCCCGTTCAGCTCAGCTTGATCAGAAATCTTGCCTCAATTCGACCTCGGCACCCACGAAGCGGGGCATAGTTGAGGCGCAGGGCCGTTATTGGTATTTGTTTACGGGCCAGAGTATGTCCTTAGGCTTTATTTAACTTTCAATCTGACCCCGCCTGCCAAGCGTCAAAGTTGGCTTTATTAGCCGACGAGCTCTCGTATAAGCCGTCAGCAGCTCGCCCGATATGAGCAGGATCTAGGCAAATTTTTCTTTCATTTTACTGCAGCCCGACATCAGTATGTCGTCGCTGTATAAATGCACATCTTGCAATGAGCTCATCCAGCCTAAGAAAGCGCGTCTCTCATGTGCTTCCTGCGCGCCCCGCATAACCCTATGCGCCAACTGCTTCGTTGTACAGAATTATCCTCCGCAGCACCAGGATGACCCCTCGCACGCAATCTCGCTACACGCACAAAGCGGTTTCATCCCTGTCCCTCCGCCACCTCCACCACGAGCGCAGTCTGTCCGAAGCCCATATGGTCCTCCCCCGCGCCGTCCTGTATCTGTTTCAAACAGAGATAGCGATGTCCCGCCGAGGAAACCTCCACGTCCTACAAATCCAGAACCAAGAAGTGAAGAACGGGTGGAGAACACGGTGCCAGTAACGCCGACGTCGATGAAACCGGAAAGAACTGTCCCAACTATTCCATATGCAGCGAGACCAGTACCGCAGAGTCCGTCCCCGAAAAGCACCGAGCCATCTCGTCATCCACCATATCCATATTCATCTACAAGCTGGATCCCGCTCTTCACCGAGGACATGAAGCCCTCGGCTTCCTTCATGAGATTAATCGAAGAGCTCTTCCGCCACCTAGACCCGCAGCGCACGGGGTATCTCAGTCCAGAAGCCGTCTCTAAGTACGTAGACGTATGTGGCGCACCACCTAGCCACAACGTTTGTATGTATATCCATAGTCCTCTTCCTACCGTTACACGGCCAACCAGATTAACGATCTAACACACGACACAGGGAAAACCAGCCGCGACAAAAACCCACAATATGGCTACGACATGGCCGACCGCGAACTAGCCGACCACTTCACAGCATACGCCGTCGACTTCGCCCTCCGTCCACGCACTCCACCCTCAACACCCGTCAATTCCCCTCTAGATCCCCTGTCCTATCTCCCGCCCGCTCAGCGCGCTGCCATTTCCGCATTCATGCCCGCCCAATCCACATCCGCGAACTCGCTCTCCGGAGGGAAAAAACCCATGCTGTCATTCCGAGGCTGGACGGACCTTACAATCTGCGGTGTGCTTCTGAACCCGTCTGCGTCATGCGGGCAGCTCAATCGCGCTATGCAGGCATTCCAGTTGCCGGTTTGGAGAGAGTGGGGTGATATTCCTCGGGATATGTTACCGCTTGCACCGTATCAGCCGGAGGTTGAGAGGGTGAGGGTATTGCTTGAGGGGGCGAGAATTAATGCGGAGCAGGAGGTTGATGCAGTTCATGCGAGGTTGAAGCTGGAGCAGAGGGGACGGCAGAATGCGTTGGATTTGTTGGATGATCGGGTTTGGGTTCGTTGGTAGTCAGCCAACGCCATAGTGCGATAGGGGAATGGTTCATGATTCTCAAGGTTAACATATTATTTGGAGTGATATTGGGCCATGAGTTGCCTTCAGGCTGGCTTCATATATATGTTGTTTTGTTCCACAAAGAGGTTCTTCGGTGTTATGCCCTCGATTCGTTTTAGGATTTTTCCACCAGTCAACCTGCATTCAATGACTGATATTGCCTGGGTGCGATCGACGATACCACATCCATCACGATTTAATCAAACCAATGAAGTTTGTTAGATGCAACTCTGCAAGTATGCTATAGCTGCACAGCTGCCATTATCATACCTGACCACCCCTGACCAAGCTAACGCAGACCTCCTAGGTGTTACAAACTCCAGCTCTTTCAGCGGCTGTAGTCTACTAATCAGCCATTGAGAAAAAACTGAGTTCCTAGGAACTGCTCACTAGTTCGAGTCCATGTGAAATTGCCAATATCCTAGTAACTGTACAAAATTCGCCGCACTCTTCAAGCACAGCCTCTTGCGAGTGACGGTCGCCATTCGGCTTAACCAATTTTCTAGTGGTAATTTCTGTTTGAGACGTCTTTTTTCCGCTTAAAATTCTCGAAATCCGGTATACGACATGCGTCCCACATCACGTAGCCCGCTCTCCGTTCATCAGCAAAGTTCTTGCTCAGAACGAAATCCAAGCCCCACTGGGCATGATCATCGGATAGATGCGCCTGACACCAAATTTCCGCCGGCCCGGAGTTGCCTAGATCTGGTAGGAAGAGGTCATAAGTCGAATAATCAGGGTCTTGCGTCAAGCCTTGCAGCTGTCTCATGTAGGCTGCACCAAACTGGGGGGTTCGAGCAGAATGCCGTTCGTGTATATAGGAGTCGATAAGATCCTCAATAGCGACATCAAGCAAAAAGAATCTTCTTCCCGGCTTCGTCTCGGCAGCCAGTAGTCGGGACCGGGCTTCACGTGTTGGTGCTCTGGTAAGCTTGTAGACGTAATCTATACCGCGAGAGACCTATAAAGTTTAGTAGATGTCCTTCTTTGTGGATGTACTACTAACCAGAAATGCTTTTTCTGTATTTTTATTGTCTGGTAGCTCCAAATCGGCCGTCTTCCCGGTACCCAAGGGGATGCGATATACGTCATTGAAAGCTTTAGGCGAAGAATTTCGTCAGCTCTATCCTGATCCCTGTGGTGTAGATGAGCATAGTTACCGAGGGAGTGTTGTCTCAACAAATACTCATACACCGAGGCGAGCTGCTCGTTTATCCAAGGGTGAAATCCAATATATAACGGCATTGACCAGTGACGATCATAATCCACGATATACGGACCGTCATCCCAGAGACAGCAGAAAAATTCAAAGAAATAGAAAGCACGTTGGACACGGTAGACCACAGTAGGTGACGGTGCGGGTGGAGAGTGGTCTAGCACTCCTTCAATAGCCAGGAAGTCAAGGGCCGTAGATATAAAGTCGGTCGTAAAATAGTCAATAGCGCGATGTAGTTGGTGGAAGTATTTGTGCGCCTCGGCCAAATCAACAGTGGTCAGATATTCCCATGCTTCTTGGGGAGAGGTTCTTTGGCATTCGTCAAGGACGGACCACGAGGCTTCTTCGTCATGAACTTTAGTATTTTTTCTAAGTGTCCGCATTTGCCATATCGTCACTGCGACCGGCAAAAGTCGAGGATCAATTTCGTTTCCTAGGACACGGCCAACAATAGTAGGGGATTCGCGCAGCGCCTCGGCCAGCAGACGGTGGCTCGAAACTGCCGCGGAAAGATCCCGGATATCGGATAGCTCTTGCAAAATGGAGATGCGCAACTCAATAGGGAGGGCAAGTATCTTGGCCATGGCTACTGAGGGCTGTTGGAGCCAAAGTACCTGACTCTTGCAGATCTCTCCGAGTGATCGCAATACTTTAATGATCAGATGTCGCTTTAGGAATGTGGAACAAATGTGGACGTGGTTCGCGGGGGGTCGACAGGCATGGAACGAACGCATGGTTTAGGTTAGCCTCTTCCGGTCAAAAGTGGAGCTATCAAAGTGTTACCTTAGCGGTATATCTCGTAAGATTCGTAAAATATTCCCTATTTGTGGTCAACGACTGTCAATGTAGGTACTGCTGTTCGGATGATGTTAGAAGATTTTTCGGTGATAGGATTCAAATGCAGACTCTTCCGTTGTCATTCTGAGCTTGAAAGAAAAGCACTTGGTTTTATTTTGCTATTTGCCCCGGAGTTCAAGATTGTCCTCGTACATCAAGACCGGCTACCCACAATGTCACTGTTTCCAAGCATGTTCAAGAGTAAGTTGCCGTCTTATCTACTGCCAAAATGCTATAAACTTACCTCAGTTCCTGGGTTGACATTGCTTTTTAAGGGCAGAGTGTGACCATCCGTAGGGTGTCCACGCTACAGTTGTTAACTCCGACGTTTGAGAGCATAAACAACAGACGACTGCACTCCTCTCGTACAGTTAGTGGGAACAGTAGACAACACGTCTCCTTAATGAGTGAAGAGATGCCAAATAGTCCGGTGCAATATGTATTGTTTGAGCCCCTTCTTCATATGATGCCTCTGGCTTGATTGACTGAGATCTGAATCCTACCAGAACAACGCTGGACCAACTCGCGAACTGGGCCCGACAGGGCTCTATCTACCCTATGACCTTCGGACTTGCGTGCTGCGCCGTGGAGATGATGCATATAGCTGGTCCACGGTATGACGGCGATCGCCTTGGTCTTCTGTTTCGGGCCTCCCCTAGACAATCGGATCTCATGATTGTCGCTGGCACACTTACCAACAAGATGGCATCCGCACTTCGTCAAGTATATGACCAGATGCCTGAACCGCGATATGTGATTAGCATGGGTAGCTGTGCGAATGGGGGCGGATACTACCACTATAGCTACTCTGGCTGCGATAGGATTATCCCGGTGGATATATATGTTCCTGGTTGTGAGTCTTCATGGATATGTCATTTGCTCATGACAGCTTGCTTACTTGATGTTGTTGCAGGCCACCCCGACAGCCGAGGCGTTGCTCTATGGAATCTTCTTAATACAGAAGAAGATGAAGAATAGAAAAGTCACACGCATGTGGTATCGGCGTTAGGTTACTTTTGTTGTGCAAGTGTGAATAGGAATGGACTTTCATGACCATGTCAAGAAATCACTATGGTGGAAGCCATTTGCGTCAAGATACTTCACGCATTGATTATTGCATGACTTTGAGTAATTTTCTGTAAATTTTGCAATTTCTACATCTCGCGCAACGCAAAGTCCAATTATATAATAACCCTTTGGTTATGCACGCCATGTCCCCAAGGTGGCTGTTGCGAAACCTGTACTTCTGCGTGACATTTATCATCATGAGTTCCAAAGAGAATGGTCGCCAGCGGGTGGGAATTTTTGGTCCGTCTTAGATGTCATGGCAGACGATCAGTAATTTAGAAGTTTCCAGACAGATGGTTTGCTTGTCTACGAGAAGGGCTGGTCCCCGTAGCACGTGAAGGGGATTGATTCGGCCCCCAAAAATCAGGCAGAACTGTTTCAAATTTCAATTTCTCCACTAGCTGCATAGCTTACTTTTTTGCTTTCTATTGAGGGTCCAGAGGCAACACTTTGATCGGCATACCACTTGGCCGCGCGAGAAATAGATGGCTAGGATCGGCTCAAGCCGACTAAATCTTGACTGACAATCCTTCTTGGGCCCAGCTGCGAACGAGCTATAGGTGATAGTATAGGATACTAGCCTTGAACATTCACGGGACTGAGCAATACTCGTACCATTCTGCCAATGGAAACCCCTCAAGAATATCATATCGAACGATATTTTGGTTGGGCTGTACACCGTGGGGAGTATCTATCCATTTTCAATGTGTCGCACACTCGCACTCATGACTACTAAGGAGCTGTCAAGGGTGCAAATACTTGAAAGCTATTAGCCAATGCAATTGCCGTTTATGACCCGAGGTATACCTACCTGGTCCACTTTGCTCTACTATGCATAATCTTAGAAGAGATGTATGTCATAGCTTGGCCACAAGACTGTGATTATGGAGAACTCCAAAATCAAAAGGGGGACACATCAGGTTTAGTTCTGGCCCCATGGTTACATTCGCGTGGTATATACTTATGCATAGATTTGAGGAACTCTTAAGACTGCAAATCGCATGGTCTTCAGATGAGACATGCATAGTCCTTGAAGCATCAGCAGGTGCATCCCGGTGCGGAGGTCAAAATTCCTCCTATGGCTTGATCTTACAATTTCCCCACTTGGCTGGACCCTGATGGCTAGATCCAAACAACCCGTGTCAACATCCCCGGATTGTCCGGGTTCACCGGCTTATGTAACGATGTTTCAGAATCTTTAACCATGTACGGAGGCGTGCACCAAATGTTTTGATGCATGCTAGTAAGCTTGGCTGTATCCTGCTGACGCAGGCCCCTAGTAATTTGTATGGAAACATGTCCAGAGGGAAAATTACTCAAATGAATCTGTCTATAATAGTGATAATATGAAGCTATTCAAATGTCGTCCTAGTCTAGATATTGATGTCCAGATAGCTGTCCCTTAATTTATCTTCCTGATTAATTACACTTAGGCCTATCTCAGCCCTCTTAGTATTCATTCCCTCCTTGTAGCTTGATAACCTCCTAGATATGGTGAATAAGGTGTTTAATCCATTATTAAATCTTCTCTTACAGAAGCTTATTCTATGCCTTTATCTAAACACCTTTACTAGTCTTCTTATCTTGAGGGGCTCTGCGTATGGTTATAAGCCTCTTTAGAAATAGCTAGTATAGCTTAATTACATTTAAATCAGGTGAGTTCCCTGGCTAATCTAGCAGCTGTTAAACTATATGGATATTATATACATACTGTTAACTATAGTGGATATGGGCTGGGGCCTTATCTTCTAAAATAACAGTATTAGGTTGATCTTTCTGACATTCTTTTATGAAAGGAATGAGCTTTAGAATCAGAACTTCCTAGGTGAGAGAGGTTCTAGATTAGTTAGAGTTGCATTTGGTGTGAGTTTGGGTGAGTTCAAAACCAGTTAGCACTGAACCACTGTGATTTTGAGTTTAAATTTTAGAACCCACAGCCAACCCAGATCTGATCTAGGTTAGTGGCAGTTTTACTGTAAAAACCCGCCACTAGGCCTAGCTAGGCCTAGCTAGGCCCCTACTAACTAACCATGGTTAGATTTAGTTTAATTTTGAGTTGGTTAAACCACTACCCCTTAGTGAATTTTAATGCCTCATCAAATGCCATATTATCTATCATAATATCACTATGCTAATTAAAAATTATCATTTTTATATAAAATATATTATAATTATCATTATACTAATCTATATCTAAAATTTTAATTCAATATCTATAGGGCTGAATGGGGGGTGGTTAAAAATGTTTTTTTTTAACTATAGTAATTATTAACTATTAGTTATATATATATATATATCCACACCACTTTCATACCACCCCATAATGAAAATGATTATTCCTCTATATCTCAGTAACCACTAGGTATTTTAAATTCATATTTATATCATTAGATAGCCTAGATCAGGGGCTATCTAATGATATTAAAAATATTAGAAGGTCCCTAGAAATAACTGATATCTGGGTAAAATAGATGAGGTGGTTTCACCTAATCTATAAAAATCATAAAAACCATAACTAACAGTTTCCCCTAATGGATTTAATTTGGTGCTAAGAGAAATTAAAACTAGTATGGTTCCCTAGGCTAGGCACCCAACACTCCAGGTTTGGTAAGGTTTGGGTTTGATTTTTGTGGTTCAGTTATGCAACTCTAAGATTAGTATATAAATTACTAGGATTAGAAGAACCTCTGAGAGAACTTACCTTTTAATATCTTTACTAATCTATTCCACCTTTCTTTACATTATAAATATATTTACTATTTGTAGCGGGCAGGGCCCACTGGGTGCTCATGCTTACTAAGCCCTCACAAACTGCCTTAGGCATTAACAAACTCTCATCCAGTCTAGACAGCAGCAGTCATATGACTCTATTATAATTAATATACTAATTAACTTTATTATATAATCTTACCTAATATTCACACACCCCTTTTTATGTTCGGCTACTGCAGTTAGGCTGGCTGTTGGGAAGGGAAGGGAATTCCTATGGGAGTCCCATGGCTAGTTCCCTTCCCTTTTTACCCTTAGTAGTGGGAATCCCATCCCAACCCCTTAGATAAATGGGATTCCCATTTCCCTATCCCTTAGATATATGGGATTCCCTAATTAATATGGGAATCCTATATTAATTTCCCATCCCATTCCTACTAAAGGATTAGGGATCCCATCCCATCTAGATAAGCATGGGAAATCCCATGGGAATCCCAAACTATCCCAAACCTTAAATTATGGGGTAAAAATAGGGTAGAATAGATAATATAGCCCTAAAAATAGGCTATATTAGGGGTATATTATCTATTTTACCCCACTTTTACCCTATATATTAAGGTTTAGGATTCCTATGGGATTTCCCTTCCTATTCTAATATTACCCTATAGGAATCCCATCCTAATCCCTTAGATAATTGGGATTCCCATTTCCCTATCCCTTAGATATCCTAGGCTATACTATAATAGATATAGAGAATATAACCATTAGCTAAAGCACTGCACTAAACCATAGTTTCCTAAGTATTTAAAAAACTAAGCTAGCCTGTGCTATATACTACTATAGTATTAGATATTAGAAGAAATTCTAATAGTAGATAGGTACTAGCTTACCTAATAAATATTCTTATTAAGGGAAGCTACTACTAATATTAAATATTAATTAACTATAGAGCTAAATAAATATTTATTAA